TACAGGCCAGAGGCTCAGGGGCGGTGAGAGGCTTCACCAGAGACAGAGTGGGGAGCAGAACAGGCAGATCGATGAAGTACACTGCTGAGGGAAGCAGCGGGCGAGCCAGGAGAGGTCTGGCTCGCCATGTGGTCTCCTCCGGGGCAGGCGGCAGGCGGGAATCGAACTCATGCGGAAGTGGCTTCAGATTCTCAGTGCTGTGCTTTAACCCGCTGCGCCACCAGGGAGGGCCTGTGTATGTTAATTTTAAAGGAAACTCATTTTCCCTTTCTTGATGGCATATTTATTTACCTAACTTTTCAATGACATAGCTCATACAAAACTAGTAATTTCAGTTTGTGCTATAACACTAGCCCTCATTTACATTTTCTGTACATTTATAACTGGGCTTTCCCTCTATTTTTAGTCTATTTGTACATGTAATTGAGAAAAATAATTTTCAATTAAATAATTAGATATTTATTGATAAACCAGAGCTATTCATCAAAACAAGTTTCAAACAGGTTTTACATTATTTAGGGGATTTCCTTTAGATTACTGGTTTGTTTCTATTCAAATCACAATCAATTTTCAAGTGTACATATGTAGAGTTATCTAATTTGTACATCACCTATGGTAAATTTTAAACCACAGAATTATCATTTACTATCAGTAATGTCGCTTTCTGCCATTATTATGTATGACAATAAGGAGTATCAATGAATTTAAGTGAGCAATGGTTTAAAATGCTTCAAACTTATTAAATTAAAACTTTTTATTCTAATAGCATTTTCTCCAACTATCAATCTTGTCAAGCTGTATTTGCCTTACTAGAGTAAACATGATATATTTAAACATGATATATTTATACAATACTATCAATACAGCTTTTCTGGGTATTCCATTGTAATTTTTTCTACTAATATACTCCACACCTATTTATGTAACTAAATTTCAATTGTTTAACCAAAAAAGGGGGAAATACATCCAATTCAAAGTTTAAAAGTGTATAGTCTTGATCTGACTTTAAACTTTGAAAACTAATAAACTTTGGCTTTTATACAGTTTTAGCAGAGTATGGAAATATCTTTGCCAAGTATTTTCATAATACATCTATCTTGCATGTTTGCAAATATAGTTTTTTGTTATTTAATGGAACTAAAATTTGATCATGCTCAGAGTTACCACTTCATGGAGAGGAGTCAAGATATGCTAGGCCTCAGTCTAAGGTCAATCGATTTTTAGGACTAGTAAGAATATAAAATGTATTTTTGTCAGAAAAACGATGTTGTCAGATAAACTATGTTGTCAGTACTTTATATTTAAAAATTTTAATCTCCTAGAGAATAATTCCCTAATAATGAATAAGGCCTAAGTTACTAAGTTCAAGGTTAGAGTTAACAATACTGCTGTATTAAAAGGTGGTATTTAATAAACATTTTACTCATGAACTAGTAGAGAGTTACATACTGAATGTAATAGTAAATAAATAAAAACAAATCCATTTATCAGTACAAGCAGAAAGTGCTTTGTGAATTTCAAAAGTTTTAGTATTGCTTTTTAGTCTCAGTGACTCAGCTAAGTGAACAGGAACAAAATTACACGATACTAAAAAAGGTAATATTTAAAATGGAAAGAATTATCAACAGACCAAAGATAATAAAAAATGCAATAATGTAATAATTATCAACAGACCAAAGATAATTTAAAAAATGTACAACAAATAAAAAACAATATAATTTAAGCTGGGCCCTCCCTTGTGGCACAGCAGGCTAAATAAAGCACAGCACTAAGAAGCTAAAGCCACTTCAGCAAGAGTTCAATCCCCAGCCACAGAGGTGATCCACATGGGGTGGCATAACTTTCCTGACTCACCCGCTGCTCCCCTCAGCAGTGTATACCTCGTCAGTTGGCCCGTTCTGCTCCCCACCCTGCCTCTGGTGAATCATCTCACCACCCCTGCACCTCTGGCCTGTACCCCAGTTCTGTGTGCATAAATGAATAAATTTTAAAAATAATATAATATAATTTAAGCTAAAGAGTATGGGGAAAAATAAAAGTACTTCATATACTATGATCCTCATAACAGACAAATGTGAAAGGAAGTAGAACAAAGACCATTGTTATAATTTTGGCATATGTTCCTTTGAAATACTAATGATAACTTTAATTCTACTTTAATCTAGTATTTTTTGTAAGCTATATTCAACTTGCAGCTCTTAGAAAAAAATCCCTCATTCCTTTAATAATGTTCGAGAAAAGTCAAACCAACTTTTTAATTGTGGGGAATATCTGCAACCTGGGGAAAGATCTTTACAAAAGAAATGTAATATATTATGTATATGTACAGCATAAAAGTTAAGCATTACCCTCTCAGCACCCTCCTCAATACACTGCAGTATCCTTAGTGGGAACACAATTTACAATTTCCTTTGTATTAGAATTACAGATACTTTTAAAGACCACATGGTCATTTATATATGCTTTTGTAGATTTTTTAACAATAGCTTCCTCAATTGACAAATAGATGAAATTAATAACAAGACTAATTCTCTGATACCTGAAATTGCTTTAGTAATGTTGTAACTACTTTCATTTCTTTTTCACTTAGCACTTGTACGACTTACTCAAGTGTCTAAGGAAGACACTTGACACTTGACTTCAAGAGGAAGAAAATAGGAACTATAAGAACAGTTGGTAACAATTTCTAAATACAATTTAGATACTTGTGGATTATGGTCAAATTTCAATTACTAATTAACTAGCTATTTATTTTGTAGTTTACTTATACTGTGTTATTTGTGTCTTTCATATTTAAGATATTTTCTTTTCAAAACTATTACAAGAGGCAAGAAAACAGACATAATTGACCCTATAAAGATTACCATTGGTACTTGCTCAGTTTAATAAACAAGCCATTTGATGAATAAGATTTATTCTGTTATTACTTTTGTTATAAATAATCTTAGTTAATAGGTTTAAAACTGGTGATCCTTGGATATGATATGACACAAGCTACGCGACTTCTGTCAACCAACAAATTCCAGAAATACTCTGAAAAATCAGAATTTCCATTGCTATTTTGTGTCACAACCTCCCTTTTTTGTATGATCATAATATCAAAAATATTCTGAGCAACATCAGTTTGCAACTGGATTGTCTTAGCTTCAAATTGGCTACCTGATCTGGGCAAAGTACAAGCCACCCAGGGCAGGAAATTCCTGTGTCTGGACACAAAAGGCAAGTTCCAGGAGAGGTAAGATGCTCCCCTCCTCCCCCCCACCCCAGAACACCAAGACTTATGGGACCCTTCCTTAGTCTTCTGAGACAAAAAGCAAATCTTAGATAAAACTCCCAGGCATAAGGACCCATGGACAATTTCCCAACATCATTGACACAGATTTTGCTTAATGCATAATTATGTGACTTCCTCTTAATTTACCATTTTCTTAAATAATCACTAACTACTCTCTGCTAGTCTTAATTAACCTTTCCCTAAAACAAACACTGGCTACTCTCTGCAGCCTTAAGTTAGCCATTAACTTTTCCTTAGACTATCACAGATGTCTTTGCTAACACAATGTATTCCCTAGGACCCCTAAATCCATTACTAACAGCTCATCCTTTCCCAGACCCTTTATCCTTTGAAGTCATAGTTAAACATCGATATACATAAAAGTTATCATAAAGACATATAGTCTAGTATGCCATAAAATGTCAGGAACATTTATGCTGTTTTCTTATTAACTTACTTGATCCATTATTGTAACTAACTCTTTTTAAACAGTATAAAGACCTGCAAAAAAGGTGAGCAGGAAGACTTGCTCCCAACTCCAACTCCTGTGTCTTCCTCATGCTGGTTCCTCTTCCCCCTTTCCAGGAATCTCTGCTAGCAGACTCAGCCCCCACCTAAAGACCCTGTCATTGGAGATGGACCCTGATGATATGACTTGAAAGCATATTCTGTGTATTATGTGCAGTAATTTTTTGGCAAGTATAATTCAACATTTAACATTCAGATAGTAGTATCTGGCTAAACTGCCAATAGAAACATTTGGCTAGAGAGCAATGGCTATCTTTCTTTGTCCCCCACTCATGGGACAAAGGCTCTTTAATTTATCTTTTTTTTTTTTTTTTTGTAAATGGAAAACCTATGAACATGCCTGAAGGGCCATGTATTTCAACAACACAAAAAAAAATAAAGAGTACTATAACATAATATGCAAATAAAATGAACTGGCAAAGACAACAACTTAAAATGTCACAATAAAACAAAAGAAACACCTTACTTATGTTATATTCTAGGAACCTACCAAAGATTTAATTGTGGGATACATACAGTAATTTAAAAACAATGATAAATTGTGTTTTGTAAGATACAAAAGTACAGAAAAAATAGGTATAATACTTCATATCACTATTTTTAAGTTTGTTTAATTAACAACCTTACAGGGTATCTGAAAATTGCTGACAACATCATCTGTTGCCAGATTCTAAAGAATGCAATGTTTTTCAAAGAAAAGAAACTTGTGCTGATAAATAGTATATTTCAAATCTGTAACATCTCTGAATATTTTTATGAGTAAGTTTCATTAATTTCAATTAATTTATCTAGATTTTAATTTCTAGATACAAGTATCTAGGTAAAATAATTTAAATTGTATGTACAGTGTATATGTTTCAAAGCTACTTTTGGTTTTAATGTAAAATAATAAAGATGAAGTTATTTTAAATCACTTATTTTTAAAATTTTCATATCAACAATTTTTAAACCATGCCATTATGTCATTTTATGATTTTGATATTAACATGGGCAACCATTAAGCAATGAGTCCACTTGGTAAAGGGGACCACTTGGTATTTATGTGACACTGCCTTTTAATGTTGGTAAGGTATAAGTGTTTATGTCACTTAATTATCTGATATAATTTTTATAATATTTTTAATTTCCACTCTAGTAATGGAAATTACTATACTTAGTTTTTCCCCCACAGATAAAGCAAGTTTTCAGTTTTCTTTACCATTCTCATTGCTATAGTTCATCAGCATGCCACAAAAGACAGTCAACAGCTTCTCATTGGCGGGATCTGTTATACAGCACAGTGACCTTAAATGGTCAATTATAATCTGTGCACCACCTGCTTGGTCAACTGCACTTCTGCCCTCATCTGTAAAACAAAGAGTTAAATTAAAAATAAAACAGAAAGAAACCTTACAAGTTCAAATACAAAACATTAACAGTGTTATTCTGCATTCTGTAAGTTGAAAATAAATCTATACAGGGAATTACATATCTTTTGGGGAAAACAAAACAAACATGGAAATGGGAGTGGAATGGGAAAAGAGACAATATTTTCAGAGAGAAAGATTATTCTCACTGGCATCATATAGAAGCTTAAAGACCCTGTGTCTTAAGACTGATGATGACATGAAATTGTTTGTAAACAATAATTCTGTGTAAGACACAAAAGAGGTACAGATGTTCTATTGGAAATCTTTTTTCTCAACTTATGAACTAATATCTATTTTTGAATTAGTGGTTTTAAAGTAAGTTATTATCAAGAACTCTGGAACTCAGTGTAATTCTAGCTCACAATTAATGCATTTTATTTTTTTTTTTAATTCAGGTAACACTGGTTTACAATTCTCTTATATGATTTAGGGTAATAGTTTAAACACACCCTCAGATGTATGTTATCCAAGGTAACCAAACCACTGTCTACTTTGTCCCCACTCCCACTTGGCTCCCCTTCCAGTATCCTTAATTTTTAAACTTGTTTTGGTTTAGTTTTGCAGGTTTCATTTGTTTCTTCATAACCCATATATGAGTGTTATCATTCTGTATTTCTCTTTCCCCTTGTGAAGTATTTCACTTTGCATAGTACTCTCTAGGCATTATGCATCATGTTTTCACAAATTATAATGGTTCATTTTTTATATAACCTATTAAATAGTAAATTATATAAAGCATAAAATTATTAAATATTAAAAATTATTAAATTTATTGAATCATTAAAATATAGCATGTCTTCTTAATCTAATTCTCTGTTGTTGGATATTTAGGTTGATTCCTTATCTACTGTAAATAGTGTCACAATGAAATAGGAGTACATGTATGCTTTTGAATTGGTGTTTTGCACTCTTTGGCCATACCAAGGATGGTAATTGGTAGTAAATCCATCTAATGTATTGAGGAACCTCTAATACAGTTTTCCACATGGGTTGAACCAGTACACATTCCCCTTTTCCTCTACACCCTCACTAATGACGATTTTTTATAGCCCATAAACATGTTCTTCTCCATTTTAACTCATAGTAGTTTGTATTTAATTATTCCTATTTTCTCATGAATTCAAGATTGTAGTCAGTGGTCAAGCATACTTCTGTTTTAAGCATACATATATATATATATATATATATTATATACACACACATGTTACACAGAACAAATGTCCTTTAACAGAATATTATGAATAACTTTAAAAGACTTTCTAACTTCTAACACAGATACAGAAAAAAATCAGAAATGAGTCAAAATTGAAATTATATTTAATAGTCTGAGACAGATGAAAAATTAATGTTAGTATTGTTTTATTCAAACAAATATATCTAAAGTATTGTCATTCAAATATGTAATCAAATTTCAATTTAATGAAATATTTTATTTTCTTTATTGCACTACTATCTTTAAAATATGAGTGTATTTTCATTTACATGTCAATTCAGATTATCAGTAGCTATGTGGCAGTGGCTGCTGTAACAGACAGTGCGACTTTAGGAACCTAATAAATCAAATACTTTACTTTCTTAACAAAAGAATTGAAACTAATGTCCTATCTCAATAAATACTGAGCTCAACTAGGCAATGAGACTCAATATATGTAAGCTTACATATATTACACTATTACATAACTTACAGAAATTCTATAAGATTCAGTCTTGTAAATACTAATTTCACAATTAGTATTTTTTTTCTGCTTAGTTTTATAGTATCATTTCATAGATTGAGGACAGAACTCCATGCTAACAGAAAACACACTGTCAGATAAACAAGTCGGATGACTCATCCAAGAACACTAGGCATAGCATATATAGAAATCTAATTTCCAAAGTTTTATTTTCCAATAACACAAACACAAATTATCACAATTCTTTGTCAGTTTACATCTGATGATAACAAAAAAAAATTCAACATTAGGATTATAAATCTAAATGTTCATGCCTTCAATAATTACATAATAATTAGCTAAATTACAAAGGTAAATTAGATCTAATTACTGAGTAATTAGATTAATGTGGGCCTTAAGTATATGTATCATTCTTGCTTAAAACTCAGAAATCTAAGATAATAAACTAAACCGTAATTTCATATATTCAGGATCTAATACTTAGAAATTACATGGAGCCCATTTGCAGTGAATTTTAAAAGTTAAACTACCCTATAAACACCTATTATTATTCAAAATTTTCAACAATTCAGTGTTTTAAAACAAATTTACAATTTATTTAATAAAGTTACTTAATGAATTTTATGCAAGAGATAAGAATATATCTACAATAAAAAGTAAATCTCCATTTTGTGAGGTATTTTTTCATGATCTTAAATTTTTTTTAAATTTATTTTTGTACAGAAGAACTGGGATTAGGCCAAAGGTGTTATGAGGCAGAAAATGGGACGTGGGGGGGGTCAGAGTATTCACCAGAGAAAGGAGTGGGGAGCAAAACTGGCAGATGCTGAGGGGAGCAGCAGACAAGACAGGAGAGGTCTGCTGCTCCATTTGTGGATTAGCTGAGTGGGTGGGGATAGAACTCAGGCCTTAGTGGTGATACCATTGAAATTTAACCCCTAGGTCACCAGGAAGCCAATTTTGTGTTTCAAAGACACAGTTTTTCTTCCTTTGCTTACTTCCTCCATCCTATTCCTCTGTGCCTATCATTTTGGATTGTCAACAACATTTACTCATGTATTACATCAGTATTTGGCTGTAGAGAATAAACTCAATTTCTATATATGAATTCTATTTTTAACAAATTTGAAAGGACAAGGAAAGAGTAAACACCACTATAGGAACACTTATGCAGTTTCATCCTTACTTTTCCTCCCCCTCCTTTTTTTTTTATTTATTTTTTTTTTTAATTTTTTTTTCAATTTTTTTTTTTTAAAGATTTATTTATTTATTCATACAGAACTGGGATACAGGCCAGAGGCTCAGGGGCGGTGAGAGGCTTCACCAGAGACAGAGTGGGGAGCAGAACAGGCAGATCGACGAAGTACACTGCTGAGGGAAGCAGCGGGCGGGTCAGGAGAGGTCTGGCTCGCCATGTGGTCTCCTCCGGGGCAGGCGGCAGGCGGGAATCGAACTCATGCGGAAGTGGCTTCAGATTATCAGTGCTGTGCTTTAACCCGCTGCGCCACCAGGGAGGGCCTTTTTTTATTTTTGAAAGATCAATCACATAAATAAGGGCAAAAATAAGGGCAAAGAATATTTTGTTAAAGTATGATTTTCTAGAATTTGAGGATGTAAATGGGGTATTATAATGTTATTTTCTTTCACACTACTAAAAACCATTTAAAACAACAAGTCATTTAAAATATAGAGAACATCTGTCAATGGGTTAGTCCCATATAAACTTTTTCCATAGTAAATGTAAAAGCTCAATGTTATATTAAAATTGGTATTGCTTTTTATTTGAAAAGTTTTTTTTTAATTCTAAACTTTCATATCCCTGCATAGATATCCATTCCTGCATGAAGATTCACTTTTATTTTTTCTTGTAATAACCTGTATCCTTTGAAGCATCTGAGTTGCCACCTCCAGAAATAGGATATAAATTGTCCAACATCATGAGGTATCCGATCACTGGAGAGGTACAGCCCAGAAACTCTTTAAGTCACCCTACATTCTTAATAATGACCTGAACTACAGGGTACTTTACACCACAAGTAGGAACTTGTTTTATTTATACTAGTTAAGAGTAGGGCTTACCTGCTAAAGAGAAAACACAATTCCATTGCTCTTCAGTAGCCAAAATCAGGAAACAATATATCTTGTTATGTTATTGTAATTAGTCTCACAAAGAAAAATGTTACTCAGTTGGTATTCTATTGTCTGGACTAAGGTAAACACCAAGGCTGAGAACATTACCTAAAAATCACTACTCAATACAACTATAATGTTATAGGAAGCCCTAATTCATGTTAAGGTTAATTAGGCAGCTTTAGGGACAGTGCAGGCAGGTATTTCAGAAGAGTTAAAGAGGCTTCTGAGATAAATTCTAAGTCATTAAGCAACACATACTCCAGAGATGAGGTCAGGAAGCTCAGGAAAACTAAACAAACTAGTAAAATCAGAGGCTAAACCCTTGCCTGGGAAGGTTAACTATTAAGAGAGAAAAAGACTTATTAAATACCCCTAGACACAGGCCCACAATGGCTTCCTTGCCCCTCCCAAGTACTTTCTTCCTTTAAGTTTCCTTTACTTTCTTAAACAAAGTTTATTGCTCTCTGTTTGCTTATCTAAAATGCCTGTGAACTCCTTTTCAAAGCTTTGTGTAACAGAAGTCTGTTCAAGGGTTAAATTAACAACACACACCAGCATCAAAAGTACACTCTAATTATTTATTTACTTGTATGCTTCTTGGATAGTCTATGCTTCTCTGTGGGCAACAAACATGCATTATTACATGCATTATTATTACATTGCATTTTCTTCAATAAATGCAATCTTTGGGTAAATTTTGCAATTAATCACCTTGAAAGAGAAAGAGAATCCAATTTTCTGTACACACAATAAGGCAGTTAACTTAGAACAAGTGTATGCAGCTTATGTGTAAAAAGTTCAAAGTAAGGAAAGATGTAGAAATAAAAATAAGTAGCAGGGGCAGGGAAGCATAAACAAACAAACAAACAAAAAAAGGCAAGTAGATAGTTTTCCTATGTGCATACACTTGTGGAGAAGAGTCCCATGAGATCCACTTGAGAGTAAGAGTTTCTAAAACTTCTAAAGAAAGTGCTTTAAATATCTATTTTTTAAAACTATTTTACTTTAATTGAGGCAACACTGATTCACAACACTGTATATGATTCAGAGGTATAGGTTTAGACCTCTTTATATGCTAGCAAACCAAAACCACCAAGGTAATCACAACATTCTATTATAGTTAACTA